GTGCAAAAGAAGTAATATTTATTAAATAGATAAAGCATGATAAGAAGGAAAGTAAAAATGAATTTTATAGGAAATCTTATATTAATAATATGAAAATCAGAAATTTTATGCATAAAAAAAGATTAAAAAATGTCCAAAATCTGAATTAGTGATGTAGATTTAATACTTGGTTTGGCGTGGGCGATGTAGAATAAATTCAATGCACGTATTTCAAATGTTAGGCGGTTTTGTGATTTATTATATGCTTAGCCTAACATGCAATTTTTTTTCAAGAGAAGTACAAAGGTCATGAGATAAAATTGATTGTTAACTACTTTATATTAAATGTAAAGGAAAGATCATGCTACTTTCACTATTCTGTTTTTTTTTCAAAATTAAATTTATTTAACTCGATATTCAATTTCTAACTGTCTTCGTAAATTTTTTCGTAAAAATTGGGAAATTCAGCTGTCGATGGTGAAGGATTCTTTCTGGTGGCTTTTTTTTTTTTTTTTTTTTTTCATTCCACATGCTGATTGCATAGATGAATATATAATCAATTTATAATGCTGGTTATATTTTTTGAAAAAAAGTAAATATCTTTTTTAAATATATTATGAAGTCAAGAGTTCTTCATTGACAACTTAAAGTTTCCTTCATTATGAAACATAAATATTTTATTCATTTATGGTATGAAAATTCTACCTCTATAGAAGCATCTTTTATTAACTTAAATTGAAGGGACAATTAGAGTCAATACAACACTTATAGATAACATTTCAAACCATGAGTAAACAATTGCTAATTATTGATAACATATTTATTTGCAGCGGTCACCGGTGGAAGGATTCATTGCCCGTGATATAACATTCCGTAACACAGCTGGACCACAAAATCACCAAGCTGTAGCACTTCGATCTGGCTCTGATCCTCTGTTTTCTATCGTTGTGGTTTTGAAGGATACCAAGATACACTCTATATTCATTCTCAACGCAATTTTACAAAGAATGTGATATTTATGGCACGGTAGATTTCATATTTGGAAATGCTGCAGTAGTTCTCCAAAATTGCATGATATATGCTAGAAAACCCATGAGCGGGCAAAAAAATACTGTAACAGCACAAGGAAGAACTGACCCTAACCAAAATACTGGCATTTCAATTCACAATTCTCAAGTCCTCGCTTCATCCGACCTAAAACCAGTACTTAGCTCAATCAAGACGTTTTGGGAAGGCCTTGGAAGCAATATTCACGTACTGTTTATCTACAAACTTACCTTGACACCTTGGTTGATCCTACAGGTTGGTTAGAATGGGATGGTAACTTTGCTCTAAATACTTTGTATATGGAGAATATAAGAACTCAGGTCTTGGTTCTTCAACTAGTGGCAGAGTAAAGTGGGGTGGTTATCGAGTTATTTCTAGCTCAACGAAGCATCACAGTTCAGCGTCGCAAATTTTATAGCTGGTCAGTCGTGGTTGCCTTCTACCAGTGTGCCATTCACTTCTGGCCTCTAATTGTATTGTATTTGATCAGTTCATATATTTGTTTACTGCTCTGTTCTTTAGTCTTTCCATTCTACACAAAACATAGGGAATCCAGAAAGTGTATTTTTAAGATCTCAATAAAGAATAAGTGTATTTTTAAGATCTCAATAAAGAATAAGATGATTTTTTAACCTTTCTTGCTACTCCTTTCTCTATAGCCTCTCACAGACAGCGAAATTTTAACTCTTCAAGCCTATTATTGTTAAGAATTGTCATTTTGAACCAGCCTCTTACAAGTGAGGCAATTCTAAAGAAAATTGGGCTCTCCTTTGTGAAAGGTAAATGACTTTAGTTCTGAACATTTACAAAATAGATAAGAACCAAGTGAACTCAAAAATATTTGACGGAACAATCGGCAAACATTTATATTTGTGCTTTTGGATAATGTTACAGTCAGAAAACCGACAAACCCATAAAATTGTCTCAGAAAATGACTTTCAAATTTGATATGATGTGGATCATATCTACAATAATTTTGATCCATAAATTTAAGCTTTTAGGCATTTATCAATAATTAAAAACTATTATTTATTTTTTAGTGCGTAACATTTTTTTTTTCTTATAGTGCTCCTGCTGGGCTTGTTGAAATCATATGTAAGTAACACTTTAAGGGTAGTTTTTTTTAGAGGCCCATGTTGATTCACCTGGGCAGCCCATTTATATTGTAATGGGGCTTACAACAGATTTGACCCATCTAGGAGCCTTGAATATTATCTTCAAATTCAATACAGTTCAATATTAGATAACCAAATTTAAATTATGATTCCAAAAACTGCATATGGTTATTTTTTCTTAAATATATAATAGTAAATAAACTCGTGCTATGCACGGTAGATTAATTGCTTTTTGAATTTTTAAATTAAGCAAAATAGAAAAATTTTGAAAATTTATTAAAAAATGAAGGTGCACTACAAGAAAAGTGAGTATATGAGACGGAACTATTTGCGACGGCACACTTGTCGTCTCAAAAAGTCACTTTTTGCAACGGCAGAAAATGCTATCTCAAAAAAGCAGAGTATTTGCGATGGCATCATTTGCCGTCTCAAAAAAGTAGAGCATTTGCGACGGCACAATTTGCCGTCTCAAAAAATGAAAGTATTACATCGCAAAATTCTGCTTTTTTGAGACAGCATTTTCTGCCGTCGCAAAAAAGTGACTTCGTGTTTTTTTTTTTTTTTTTTGTGAATATTTTTAAAATTTTAAATATTGTTTTAGATGCACCTTACTTGGATGTATCTAAAAAATAAAAAAAAATTTTATAAAAAAATATTTTTAAAAAATTATAAAATAAAAATACAAAAAAAAAAAAATGTATTGAATTATTGTATTTTTGGTATTTAGTGAATTTTAAAAGATTTTTTTTACATTTTTTAAAATTTTTAGGTGTATTTATGTTAGATGTGTCTGAAAATTAAAAAAAAATACGTAAATATAAAAAATATTCAGTAAAAACAATAAATAAACACAAGAGGAAAACAAAAGTATAATAATCTCAAAGAGTTTTTGGAAAAACTCTAACCTAGCATAGTGATTGTGTTTTGAGATAGCTTCATATTGATTTTATTACTATACAACATGGTATTTCGTTGTATTCAGGAAATGGACATTAATAATCGAATAATGGTTTGTAGGTCATTTTGTAAGCAATAATTCTTATAGTTTTTTACTTAAAAGCATTTAGTATTATCAATCTTAATAGTTATAACAATGACATATATATCCTACAACTTTGATGAAGATACAATTGTCTTGCTATATAGATTTTTTCTATACCATGTGACCACTTCATGTCTTGTATAATATACACTTTGTAAAGTAGTTGAATTTATTTTCAAGTATCTTTTAACCCCTAATTTGTTTTGTTTTTCGCAACTCTACCAGCACATAGTTTTAAGTGGAGGGAGTACTATATTGCATAGATGAATATATAATCAATTTATAATGCTGGTTATATTTTTTGAACAAAGTAAATATCTTTTTTTAAATATATTATGAAGTCAAGAGTTCTTCATTGACAACTTAAAGTTTCCTTCATTATGAAACATAAATATTTTATTCATTTATGGTATGAAAATTCTACCTCTATAGAAGCATCTTTTATTAACTTAAATTGAAGGGACAATTAGAGATCATAACAACACTTTATAGATAACATTTCAAACCATAAACAATTGCTAATTATTGATAACATATTTTATTTGCAGCGGTTATCGGTGAAGGATTCATTGCCCGTGATATAACATTCCGTAACACAGCTGGACCACAAAATCACCAAGCTGTAGCACTTCGATCTGGCTCTGATCACTCTGTTTTCTATCGTTGTGGTTTTGAAGGATACCAAGATACACTCTATATTCATTCTCAACGGCAATTTTACAAAGAATGTGATATTTATGGCACGGTAGATTTCATATTTGGAAATGCTGCAGTAGTTCTCCAAAATTGCATGATATATGCTAGAAAACCCATGAGCGGGCAAAAAAATACTGTAACAGCACAAGGAAGAACTGACCCTAACCAAAATACTGGCATTTCAATTCACAATTCTCAAGTCCTCGCTTCATCCGACCTAAAACCAGTACTTAGCTCAATCAAGACGTATTTGGGAAGGCCTTGGAAGCAATATTCACGTACTGTTTATCTACAAACTTACCTTGACACCTTGGTTGATCCTACAGGTTGGTTAGAATGGGATGGTAACTTTGCTCTAAATACTTTGTATTATGGAGAATATAAGAACTCAGGTCTTGGTTCTTCAACTAGTGGCAGAGTAAAGTGGGGTGGTTATCGAGTTATTTCTAGCTCAACGGAAGCATCACAGTTCAGCGTCGCAAATTTTATAGCTGGTCAGTCGTGGTTGCCTTCTACCAGTGTGCCATTCACTTCTGGCCTCTAATTGTATTGTATTTGATCAGTTCATATATTTGTTACTGCTCTGTTCTTTAGTCTTTCCATTCTACACAAAACATAGGGAATCCCAGAAAGTGTATTTTTAAGATCTCAATAAAGAATAAGTGTATTTTTAAGATCTCAATAAAGAATAAGATGATTTTTTAACCTTTCTTGCTACTCCTTTCTCTATAGCCTCTCACAGACAGCGAAATTTTAACTCTTCAAGCCTATTATTTGTAAGAATTGTCATTTTGAACCAGCCTCTTACAAGTGAGGCAATTCTAAAGAAAATTGGGCTCTCCTTTGTGAAAGGTAAATGACTTTAGTTCTGAACATTTACAAAATAGATAACGACCAAGTGAACTCAAAAATATTTGACGGAACAATCGGCAAACATTTATATTTGTGCTTTTGGATAATGTTACAGTCAGAAAACCGACAAACCCATAAAATTGTCTCAGAAAATGACTTTCAAATTTGATATGATGTGGATCATATCTACAATAATTTTGATCCATAAATTTAAGCTTTTAGGCATTTATCAATAATTAAAAACTATTATTTTATTTTTTAGTGCGTAACATTTTTTTTTTCTTATAGTGCTCCTGCTGGGCTTGTTGAAATCATATGTAAGTAACACTTTAAGAGTAGTTTTTTTTAGAGGCCCATGTTGATTCACCTGGGCAGCCCATTTATATTGTAATGGGGCTTACAACGGATTTTACCCATCTAGGAGCCTTGAATATTATCTTCAAATTCAATACAGTTCAATATTAGATAACCAAATTTTAAATTATGATTCCAAAACTGCATATGGTTATTTTTTCTTAAATATATAATAGTATAAAACTCGCACGGTAGATTCATTGCTTTTTTGAATTTTTAAATTAAGCAAAATAGAAAATTTTTGAAAATTTATTAAAAAAATGAAGGTGCACTACAAGAAAAGTGAGTATATGAGACGGAACTATTTGCGACGGCACACTTGTCGTCTCAAAAAGTCACTTTTTGCAATGGCAGAAAATGCTGTCTCAAAAAAGCAGAGTATTTGCGATGGCATCATTTGCCGTCTCAAAAAAGTAGAGCATTTGCGACGGCACAATTTGCCGTCTCAAAAAATGAAAGTATTACATCGCAAATACTCTGCTTTTTTGAGACAACATTTTCTGCCGTCGCAAAAAAGTGACTTTCGTGTTTTTTTTTAGTGAATATTTTTAAAATTTTAAATATTGTTTTAGATGCACCTTACTTGGATGTATCTAAAAAAAAAATTATAAAAAAATATTTTTAAAAATTAATAAATACATAAAAATACAAAAAAAAATGTATTGAATTATTGTATTTTTGGTATTTAGTGAATTTTTAAAAGATTTTTTTTACAATTTTTAAAATTTTTAGGTGTATTTATGTTAGATGTGTCTGAAAATTAAAAAAAAAATACGTAAAATATTAAAAAAATTCAGTAAAAACAATATAACACGGAAAACAAAAAAGTATAATTTTCTCAAAAGAGTTTTTGAAAAACTCTAACCTAGCATAGTGATTGTGGTTTTGAGATAGCTTCATATATATACAGTCACAAAATGGTTCGAATAAATTCAACGGTATTTTTCTGTCGCAAAAAAAATTAAAAAAAACAATGTCGTCTTACTCTTTTGATATAACATTTCTCTTTTCATTCATTTTTTCATCTTCCTGTCTCTCTGTCTCTATCTCTCTCTCTCTTCTCTTAATGTCTTTCACTCATTATTCTTCTTTCTCTGTCTATTTCTCTCTGTGTCTCTCGCCTATCTCTCTATCTCTCACATCTGTTTTTTCTCTTTGTCTCTCTCGCTCATCTCTCTTCTCTCTATCTCTCTCATTTCTTTTCTCTCTCTCTTTCTCTCTCTCTTATCTTTCTATCTCTCTCGCCAATTTCTCTTCTCTCTCTGTCTCTCTCTTTTTCTGTGTCTCTCTCTCGCTTATCTCTTTTCGCTCTATTTTCTCTCTCTTTTTGTCTATCTCTAGCTCATGTCTTGTTTCTCTCTCTTTTTCTATCTCTCTCTCTCTTTCTCTCTCTATCTTTTTTCCTGTCTATCTCTCTCTCACTCATCACTTTTTTCTCTCTCTCTGTTTACTTGTCTGTTTGTCGATTTCTCCCTCACTATGTTCGCCTTGCTCACTCTCTTACTCCCATCTTCTCTATTTATCGAGCTCCTTCTCGATTTATCGATCCACTATAAGAAAATACACTTTTAGCAATCACTTTGTCTCTCTCTCTCTCTCTCGCTCATCACTCTCTCTCTATCTCTCTTCTTTATTTGTCTCTCACAAAATTAAAATATTTTTAAAATATTTAAATATTTAAAAAATTGATTTGAATTAAGTTTTGAAAAGAGTTTTGAATTAGGTGTTTGGTTATGAGTTTCGAAAAGTAATGATTATATTTTGAATTGAGTTTTGAAAAATGGATGTAGAATTCTGATTTGAAAGCTCAAAACAAATACCATACTTAAATCAATGGGTGAAACTATGACCACTACCATTACCACTCTCTCTGTCTCTTCTTTTTTTTTTTCTATGTCTCTCTCGTTAATCTCTTTTCACTTTCTTTCTCTCTCTTTTTGTTTATCTCTTGCTCATTTCTTGTTTCTCTCTTTTCTATCTATCTCTTTCTCTTTCCGTCTCTCTCTCTCACTCATCACTCTTCTCTCTCTCTGCCTGTCTGTTTGTCTGTCTGTCTGTCTGTCTATCTCTCTCTCTCTCCCCCACTGTGTTCACCTTGCTCACTCTCTCCCTCATATCTTCTTTATTTATTGAGCCCCCTTTCGATTTATCGATCCACTACAAGAAAATGCACTTTTAGCGACCACTTTGTCTCTTTCTCGCTCATCACTCTGTCTCTTTCTCTGTCTCTCTATCTCTTTTCTCTATTCGTCTCTCACCAATCTCTCTCTCTCTCTCTCTCTTACCACCCATATTCTCTACTACATTTGCCACTACTGCAAATGCCATTAAACTACCACCACTCTTTTCTTTCTTTCTTTCACTCATCACTCTTTTTTTCTATCTGTTTGTCTATCTGTCTGTCTATTTATCTGTCTGTATGTCTTTTGTTCATCTTTTTTCTCTCTATCTCTCTCATTTGTCTTCTGTCTCTGTCTCTCTCGTTCATCTCTCTTCTCTCTATCTCTCTCATCTCTTTTCTCTCTCTCTGTCTCTCTCGTTTATTTCTCTTTTTTTTTCTCTCTCTCTCTCTGTCTCTCTCGCTCATCTTTCTTCTCTCTATCTCTCTATTTTTCTATTCTCTCTCTCGTTTATATTTTTTCGCTCTCTTTCTCTTTCTTTTTGTGTCGCTCATCTCTTGTTTCTCTCTTTTTTTTCTGTCTCTTTCTTTTTCTGTCTCTTTCTCTATCTCTTTCTCTCTTTGTCTATTTGTCTCTCTCTCTCACTCATCACTCTTAATAGAAAATATTTTTTATTAAAATATTATCCTTACTTATACCAAATAAAAAATAATAATATTAATTTTTTATTCATTAAAATAAAAATGAAACAAATAAATTTTCAACCTTAATAACGAAAAGAAAATAAAAATTATTATTTATTTATTTTTATTATTTAAATATTCATTTATGATGAAAATTAATTTTTTTATTTTTTTTTCTCAATCCCGCCCGCTCGCGGGTTCCCCCCATTTTTTCCATTCCCGCGCCCCCCAAAATCCCCAATCTCTTATAACCAAAATCCCTAATTTCTACCAAATATCTCTCTCTCTCTCTCTCTCTCTCGCAACTGTGAGCATGGGCGACGACGGCGTCGAGCCACGGGCACCAGTGAATGAAGGAAGCCAGACATTGACGACTATTGTCGGAGTCCTTCACTTCTCTATCGATATCCATTACCAGCAAACGAAGTTCTCTGGTTCTATGTTTCTTTGGTTCTTTGTTTCTCTTTTTCTCTGGTTCTATGTTTCTTTTCGAATCTCATCAAAGCTATGTATTGTATTGCTGGTTTGAACAATAGGCTTGAATCTCATCGGGGGTTTAGCTAAAGACACTACATTAGGTCAGCTCATTCTTCTTTCAATTGCTTCTGCAAAAATATCTAGATTGTTTTGTTTGATGGCAAATTCTTCAATTTACATTATGATATGCTTGTTTGATGTTTGTTTTGTGTGATTGGGGGTGGTGTGTGAGTGCAGATCAGTTCACGAAGTACTTTGGAAAGTACGGGGAGATTACAGATTCGGTTATAATGAAAAATCGGCACACTGGTCGACCCAGGGGTTTTGGGTTTATCACCTATGCTGATCCTTTTGTTGTTGACACTGTTATTGCTGAAACCCATGTCATCAATGACAAACAGGTGCTTTTCCTCACTTGGGTTATTTACTTTGGAAGAAAAATCTTTGTGCATTTTGTGTTTCTGGGTTTTGCTGTTTTTCCTGATAGGAAAAACTGTGGCGAAGAGAGAAGAAAAACAGAAAATTTGATGCTTTTCCTTAACTTTACATCTTGTTTAGTGCCTTTGAACTTGAAACTTGAAGTAATAAACATTCCGTGCCAAAGTAAACCGAAGCTTACTCTCTTAAATTTCTATTTAATTTTTGTTCTCCACAAGACTTCCTCTATGTACCCACCCAAATAAATGTGTTTGTTTCAAGATTGGCTTGGAAATTTATCTCCCTCTGGTGTTGGTTTGGAAAATATATACGAAATAGTTAGATTAGTGTACTTTTAAATGTTTATTGATATCAATTTCCATCTGAATTATTACCTTTTCGGACTGCTTTATACTAGTCGTTCTGGGCCTATAATGATGGGTTAGCACTCTTATAGGAAGCAAAAAGTCTGCCCAAGAAAAATTTTGAGACCCAGGAGGGGCCATGGCCCCCCTTCATCCAAACATAGGCCCACCCTTAGATCCATCTTTTAAGTTGATAGTTTGCATAATGCTGTTCTGATATTTTGTTCTGGCCCTAGATGTATGTATGACATGATACTAGGAAAGAAGTAAATAAGAAGTTACAGGTTTCCACTGCCTAATGAAAAAATAAAGATGAGTTGGGAAAAGTTTTAGTTGTTGACACATGTATGGAAATGTAAGCATGGGGAGACATGATTGGTTTTATGAGGTGTACCATTGAAGTATTATAACGATTATTCAGTGAATTTACTATCATTCCTATTTTCATGTCTTTGTTTTTCTATAGTTATATTTCCTTTTGATGTAATTTTGTTTATTGTATGTTCTGCTTTATTTTCTATTGTTTATTATTCAATTTTTATCTGCATTATTCTACTTCTTGACAGATAGAAACTGTGACATAAGTTCACTGTTCTCGTGCATATATATATATTCTCTTTCAATGTCTGATTACAGGACGGTGTTAATATCTTGGCTGTTAATTATGGTTCTCCTGGTGCATGTCCATATCCTCGGCAATTGAAACTTGTAAGTTTGGGCCAACATTTTTTTACTCTCTCTCTCTCTGTCTCATGGGTTATTGTGATTGCAATTTTACTGCATTTGTTGAGAAAGAATGCAGAAGCTACATTAGATGTCTTTTTTCTGATCTCTTTAGGCTGCTGCAGTCAACACTTCTCCAAGAGGGAAGAAGCTGACCCAATTAGCCAAACTCAAGTGTTTGGAATCGGTTTCAGGGCTACCCTACTGGGGGCTTATATCCCCTTAATAAGCTTGTTCTTAGAAAATATGGTATCTAACAAATTTTAATCTTGGGAATGATTAGATTTTTAACTTTTCAATTTTGATTGTGAGGTGTTGTGGCTCAACATGATGTTTTAATTTGTTATGAATTCATTTGTTTCAACGATGTACAAGAAAAAAATTCATATTTTTCAGCTCTAAAGCGAATTATATCAAATCAATGGAGTAGATAGGTCAGGAGGGTCAGGCTTTGGTTGGCCAATTATAGTGGTCCTTGGGTTCTGTATCAAACCTTCTAACATGACTGATAAATTGGTCAGGTTTTGGTTAACATTATGGTTCTTACAAAGATTTCTCAGCCTTACAAAACCCACTTGGAGCCTCTGTTGCGATGAGCATCCAGTTTTTATTGTTCTCCATGCTGTATGAATATTATTTGAGCATGTTTGACCCAATTTTAATTGAGCTTGGTCTGATCTAATTTTGGAGTTTTTATGGCAGCATGAACTGCATGGCACGGAGTGGTGCTTGCTTGAGTCTTAACACTTTTTTGGCAAATTGACAGTATCATTTCTCAATTACCACTTAGCTTGCTTTCATATATTAGATTATAACTTCTGTTTTTCAATTACATTTGGAACAGGGAATATATGGTTATCCAATTGAGATCCAGGCCCTTTTCTTTTTTGCACTGAGGTGTGCACAACAAATGTTAAAACCAGAGGGTGGTGGCAAGGAATTGATTGAGCGGATTGACAAGAGGATTACAGCCCTGAGCTTCCACATACAAAATTACTACTGGCTTGATTTCACTCAATTGAATATTGAATTTGAACATGTACAGTTTAATTATTCTTTGTAAAATATTGAATTTGATGGTTTGATCAATTTTTATTTTTATTTTCTGTTATGATGTTTTTGTGAATGGAATGTAAATAATCAGCTCTTAGTGAGTGAGAGACGGCACCACCGTCGGAAAAAATAGAAAATTTTAATATTTTTATTAATTTTGTTACAGGTTTTACTTTTTGCGACGACATTATACTGTCGCAAAAAATAGAAATTTTATTATTTAAAATAGAAATTTTATTATTTTTTAATATTTTTTGCGACGGCATTACACTGTTGCAAAAAATAGAAAATTTCATATTTTTTATATTTTTTGCAACGGCACCACATCGTCGCAAAAAGCAGTGTTTTTGTAAAAAAAAAGGACTATTAGCGACGGTATTTTTTGCTGTCTCAAATAACATTTTTAGCGACGGTAAAATAGGGTCGTCGCAAAAAAGTCAAGAAATTTCAAACGTTATTAGCGACTGCACGGTGCCGTCGCAAAAAGGTAAAAATGTCGTCGCAAGAGTTTTTGCCGTCGCAAAAACTCTTTTGCAACCCCTGCATTTGCGACCCTCTCTTGCCGTCGTAAAAAGTCATTTCGCCATCACAAAAAATATTAGCGACGACATTAGGAGAATTAGCGACGGTATTTTACCGTCGCAAAAAGTCAATTTTTTTGTAGTGGTGGGGTGAATCATTGAGTTCGTTCATTTTTTGTGTAATCCTAATACATATTTTTTATTTTTAAAATTTTATTAAAAATATCTGAATTTGTGAGAAAAATAAAATTTGAGATGGAGAAAAGATAATTAATTTTGGTTATGGTGAAAACATGATATGACCATATTGGTAGATATTAATTGCGATAATATGGTAGTATTGATAGATTTTGATCCTGTAAGGTAGATTTGGATTTTGGATCAAGAATATGAGACAAATGTGATCTATAGTAAAAGATATACAAGTTTTAGCTTCTTTTTTTTTTTTCATATTTATTACATTTTTCATAATTTGTCATAATATTTTAGTTTTAATAATAATATGGATAAAGTATCTATATGTATATTTTATCAAATATTAATAATAAACCTTGGTTTATAGTTTATATTAATCTGATGAATATAAGTTGATATTAAAAGTATTGAGAGATTATTGAGGAATAGTCAAGCTAGACATGGGTTATCTTAAGATATGATCAATCAATACAAATTGAAAGTCGGGCTCTGATTCAAGTTTGAGCTCAAATTGGGGCCTAGGCTGAGCCAGTCCAACGCTAAGGTTAACCTCTGCAAGCCTAAGCCAACTCCTAAAATCATTTTACTGGCCCAATCACGATATTTGTAGCCCGACAAATTTTGTTTAGGATAAATTAGTGATGAATCCAATCTCAGAAGTGTACAAGATATTAAATTCAATGTATATTTTTTTTGTTAGTGAGAGATTCACTTTTTGTGAAATAATTTGGTGAGAAGTCCATTTGTTAGTTTTATAGGACATTTTATTTCTAATTTTAGCCCCAAATTTGTCGGTTTAATTTTTGTTGACTATCTTTCTAAATTTATATTTATCTGTTCAAATTATTTTCTATCTATTCAAATTTATATCTATCTGTTCAATTTTTTTGTTCTTTTCCATTCAAAATTTGTTCCTATCTATCAAACCAAGTCTATCTGCCGTCAAAATTTTTTTTTCTATCTGTTGAAGTTTTGTATCTATCTATTAAACCTACTCTATCTAGATAGAGAGACATTTTTAAAAAAAAAAAAAATTGTAACAGACAATCTTCAATTTCTCTATGTTCCTATCTGTGAAAATTATTTATTCAAAAATCTGTTCAAAATTCCTATCTATTGAAATCATTTTTTCTATCTATTGAAGTTATAATATGTTATTTTTTTATCTGTTCAACACAGATCTATTGAAATTCACAAAAATCTTATCTATTTGTTTAATTTGTGCATCAACAACAATAACAACAACAACAACAACAACAACAACAACAACAACAACAATAATCATCATCAACAACAATTACACAAAATAAATAAATAAATCTACCACAGATCTACCACACAAAAAAAAAAAAAATTTAAAAAAAGCACAAAAAAAAAAATTAAAAAAAAGGAAGATAAAAAAAAAAAAAAAACCCTAGAGACAGATCTATGAATGCTATATATTCAAAATTCTTGAAAGTCTTTTTCTTTATCATCTAGAAGACTTTCTAGATTTGAGCCTTGAACACAAATCTAATCCTTCAACAACAACAATAGATAGAAGAAAAACACATATTTTCAGATCTTCACATATTTATATCTACACGCACACACACACACACATATAACACATGTAAAGATCATAACTCAGGTGATATTTATATATAAGAGAACCACCGTGAGACGTAGATTGAACAAGAGATTGAGAGCGATGCCAATGTATAGAGTATGGAGGTGGCAGAGATCGGCCACAAATGTGGATTTTCAGGTTTGGATCTCAAATTTGCAGATTGCTTGATGTTGGCAACTAAGGCGTCCAGGGCTGGCCCTAGGGTGAGTCGACTAAGGCGGTCGCCTTGGGTCCCCAACTAGGGGAATGTATCATGTCGTATTATTTTATAGGACAAATTACATATACCCCCTCGAGGTTTGGTTAAATTACAAATACCCCCCTGAGGTTTGAGAAATTACAAATTCCCCCCTAAATACTATATTTGCATAACAAATTAGGAGGTAATTTGTTATGAAATTTAAACCTCAGGGGGCAAATTGTTATGAAAATACAAACCTTAATGGGCGGGATGTAATTTCTGAAATCTCAGGGGGGTATCTGTAATTTAGCCAAACCTCAAGGGAGGTATATGTAATTTGCCCTATTTTATAATTATTTCAATATTAGCTCAATTCATTTATTTTCATATTGTCATATGATGTTATTTTGATTTGTGTCTAATTGATATTTAATGTAAAAACTTTCACTTTTAGTTAAAGCAAGTGTATGAAGAGATTAAATTTTTTCCCATAAGTTGAATTTCATAAAATTTATTTCTACTAAATTAAATTATTCATAGAATGTTTGATTTTAATTCAATTGCATTTTTGTAATTAAAAAAAATTGTACCTTATTACTATATATTTTTTACTAGATTGACTCTAAAATTGGTAACAAAAAAATACATATCTTAAATGAAAAAAAAAAGATATTAGCCTTCATTATTATTTTGCATATTTTTTTATTCAGTTAGATGGAGTTAAATAAAATATTAAAAAAATGTCATGGCATCCCTTAGTGAACATTAAAATATATAACTAATAATTATGTTTTTGAGTCTTGTCATACTTTGATTCATGTTGAAAAATAGTTAACCCTAACTTCCTAATTTTGCCTCCGTTTGGGAAGTGGGTTGGCTTTTTGGCTTTTTTGGCTATTTTAGCCTGGGCTAAAAAGCTTGGTTTGGTGAAAAAAAAAGATATTAGCCTTCATTATTATTTTGCATATTTTTTTATTCAGTTAGATGGAGTTAAATAAAATATTAAAAAAATGTCATGGCATCCCTTAGTGAATATTAAAATATATAACTAATAATTATGTTTTTGAGTCTTGTCATATTTTGATTCATGTTGAAAAATAGTTAACCCTAACTTCCTAATTTTATATATTGCATGAGTTGTGGTGAAAATTATCATCCTTACCCCCAATTAATTTTAGTTATTATAGCATTGGTAAGCTAAAAAATAAAGATTCGATTCAACTAATTGAAATTCAACTATTTTATATATATACATATATATGTTTGATATCTAAATTTTGTTAAATTGTAATGCAATAGAAATAAATTTTTATCCTTTTTGTTTTATCCAAACAATTTATTTTATTTTATTTTTTGTGTAGTGATATATAAAGGGCCCAATTTAAAAAATTCACCTTAAATCCCTAATAATTCAAGGCCGGCCCTCAAGGGGACATGTGACGAGCTCGTGGTGGTGGTGTTTGTCAGTGGAGTTAGGGTAGAAGTTGAGGCGGCGGTGTAGCGGAGGTGAGGAGAAGAAAGAGATCGGCGACGGTATAGCGGTGCACTTGTGGTGGGATTGGCAATGGTGGACTGAGGATACTGGCAACGATGGACGGTGGAGATCGGCGGTGGACGGAGGTGAGAGGGAGAAAGAGAGAGAGAGAGAGAGAGAGAGAGAGAGAGAGAAGACGGATTGATGGAGCTCCCGCTGGCTGCCATGTGAAAAGCGTGAGAGAGAAAATGATGAGAGAAGTGGGTGATTGTAAAGTTAGACTGAGGCCCCGTTTGTTTGGAGTTATAGGAAGGGGATTGGGACTACTTGTACCTTGGTATTACTAATACCTTGTTTGTTTTGAGAGATGGCCTTGGGACTACTAATACCTTGGTATTACTAATACCCTTGGAAGAGGGATTCATAGTAAGGAGGTAGAGATGGTATTAGAAAAATAGTGAGGGGATTAAAAAAATTTTATTTTTTTTATTTTTTTATATATTGGGAATTTTTTTTAAAATATTAATGTTTAATTTTTATATTTTTTTATTTGTTTTATTATTTTATATAAAAATAATTTAACAATTTCTCACTATTAATCCCTTCACTATCAATTCCCTCAATATTAATCCACTCACTGACAATCCCCTCACTATTAATTCGCTCGCTATCAATCCCCTCTATTCTATCTCTGAAAACAAACGGGACCTGAGTATTTTAATCATTTTGTACAGTTTTGTCTTTGTGGACATGACAAATTAGTGCCTGAATTTTTAGACAAAGAACATATTAAATTGGATTGTTCGCCCGACTACTTTTGTTTTTAAAATTTTAATGATTTTAAATTTTTTGAAGATAAACCCACGTAAAAGAAAAAAAAAATTATAAATTGTTCTCATTGCCATATATTTAGGTTTACTAACCAAGAAGTGTCATGTGTGCATCTTTATTATTTATAAGGAAGATATTATAGAGTCTACTAAGAAGAGAGTTGGTACACATTAAATTCCATATGCCTGACTAGTAGGCTAGTATTTTTTGCATAACTTGAATCAATTAGATATAGTTGGTTAGATGGTTAAGCCTCTGCTTGTAGTTGTTTTTTTTTGCTTTTCTTTCCTTTTTATGTTGAACTTTTGTGTACTGTTCATATATCAGTTACTTGTATACTTTTGTCCTTTGCTTGTAGTTGTTTTTTCTGTGTTTATTTTCTTTTGATTTTGAACTTTTGTGTACTATTCTATTGCTTTCCGGAGCACCAAAAAAAAAAAATTTTTCTTTTGAACTTTTGTGTACTATTATATATCAGTTACTTGTATACTTTTGCCCTATAATGGATTGAATTGATTGTTCATCATGGTATTAGAGGCATTAAACCTTTGCTTGTAGTTGTTTTTCTTGCTTTTATTTTCTTTTGATTTTGAACTTTTGTGTACTGTTCTATTCCTTTCTGAAGCATCCCCAAATATATATATATATATATATATGGATAATTAGCTTGTGTAATACGACTGATATATATATATATATATATATGTATCAGTTACTTGTAGACTTTTGTGCTTTAATGGATTGCATTGATTGTTCATTATGATATCAGACCATCATTGAGCTTCCACGAGCGATCCACTGTTCTTCATCTTCGTCTTCAATAGCTTCTTCATCTTCAACTTCGATGGAAACGCCATCCTCATTTCTGTCAATTTCACCAAATCTTGGATTATTGATTTCCAATTTGAATTCGTTTGTTACAGTTACGCTTTTCATAGTTTGGAAGAATTGATTGCAAAACATTCTTCATGCTACGAATTTGTTGAAGATTGTTAATGGATCGTATCTTTGCCCTAGCCTCACGATTCGAAATTCAGTTCCTTCTTTCTTTTTGAGGGTTTGTTGTGAAGTAATCTTAATTCACCTATAATAAAAAAATCTTTTTTCCACCGGCCTGAGAGTAGAAGTATGGAGGCTCAAATCAAGTTTATTCAATAGTGGTTGCAACAATTTAAAATTCACAGTCTCAGCTGCATTTACATTTGCATTTAATGGTTTCAAATTACTAATTTTATCTATATATATATAGCTATTGTATTTTGAGAATTCGGAGTGTGGGAGAAAGAAGAGAGTTAGAGAGCAAAAGTGTGTTTCCTCTCCTTAGTATATTCTAAATATTTGAGTGAAATAAATCTGTTTTCAGATTATAAATTCTCTCTTTTATTTGTTTTTGTGAACCACCATAAGTGGTTTGTGCCCCACTCTCACCAACAGTGGTATCAAAGCACTAAGAAGGTCTATTTCTTAAAAAAAAAAAGTAGAACAGAGCATCGTTTTCAAATCTTGCCCAGAAATCAAAGTTGTTGAAATAAATTTTTGATCACACCAGTGTGTAGGTCTCATCGAGACAATCACATTACAAAAAACCACGTTGAAAACTGAGTCCCACAAAGCCCGCATGTGCCCCACGCGCCTTCACCACGCGCAGTCATACGCCCACGCACTTCCACGCGTCTTCTTCGCCCGAATTTTCAGAGTTCGACCCGTCTGATGAACCATCCGATTCATTAGCCCGGATCTGGATTCGTATCCAAGAGCTGACGTCATTGACGACATCATTATTGACATCAAATCGAGCCACAAGCTGCGCCGTGCCGCCAAGCAGCAGATGAGCCGAGCCACGCTGCCACGCTGCTGACGTCACACTAACGTCCTTCGATCCAAAGAAATTATCCGGTGCTTTTGAGAAGTTCCAGATTCCGCCGATATGAACCGTTCAATTTTTTTTGCTAGATTGAAGCAATTTGAAGTTCGTTTTTGGTGATCCAATAGTGGTTTCTAACTATTTGAAATATTCCAGACACATCTGTATGGTCAAAATTTGCAAATTACATTCTGGAAATTTGAAGATTTCTTAAAGTCAACCAATTGCCAACACAAACAAGTTCTTTCAACCCTAGTTTCCCAAACTCAGTAAGGAGAACTATGAAAATTAGAGTATTCAAATGCAAGTCCTACTAGCCTCACAAGATTTGTGGGAGTTAGTGGATCAAGGATATGATGAGCCAACTACTCTCGAAGATGAAGGAAATTTAAATAAAACTCAAAAGACGGCGTTAAAAGATTCAAGGAAGAGAGATAAAAAGGCCTTGTATCTACTCTATCAAGGCATTGATGAGTCAAGCTTTGAAAAGATTTCAGCAGTAGCAAATTCACACCATGGAATTGAGAAGACGATAAGAGTTCGACTCCAAGTGTTACATGGCGAATTCGAGATGCTGCACATGAATAAGAATGAGTCAATTTCTGAGTACTTCAACAGAACGTTGACCATTGTTAATCAGATAAGAAGATATGGAGAGAAAATAGAATCTCTTCAAATGATAGAGAAGATTTTACGATCACTCAGTCTCAAGTTCGAGCACGTGGTTGTAGCAAAAGAAAAGTCCAAGGATCTTAGTGCCATGACCACCGATGAGTTGATGGGCACACGTGAGATTCATGAATAAAGGATCAACAAAAAGACTCCCTCAAGTTCTCTAAAGCAAGCTCTTCAATCAAAGCTGTCTTTGACAAAAACGAGCAAGGGAGGACATCACAAAGAAGCCAAGGAAGAGGTCGTGGTTACAATAACCGAAAGTTCTGGTTTTCAAGGAAGAGGCGGAAGAGGTCTAGCCAGAGGAGAAAGAAGTCAACCACACTTGCTCCAATAGGAAGAGCAAGAGGAAGAGGAAATGGTTACAACAACCGACTAGGATTTGACAAAAGCAATGTTCAATGCTACATTGCCACAAGTTCGGGCATTACAGCAACGAATGCTGAAGTAGAGCAACAACAGAAGCCCGAGAGCAAGTAAATTTTGCTGAGCAAGAAACAAGCAAAGTCGAACCTACAATCTTATTTGTCCAGCATGGAGATACTGAAAACCAAAACAATGTTTGGTATTCAGATTCAGGAGTCAGTAATCACATGTGTGGTAAAAGAGAGTTGTTCATCGAGCTTGACGATACTGTACAAGCACAAGTCTCATTTGGTGATTCTTCAAAGACTCCAGTAAAAGGAAGAGGCAATATTCTGATCAAGCTCAAGAATGGAGATCATGATTACATCTCCAATGTTTATTATGTTCCTGTCATGAAAACAACATTTTGAGTATGGGGACAACTCCTATAGAAAGGATACGGCATCAGCATGAAAGACTGTCATCTTACCATCAAAGACAATCATGGTAATTTGATCGCTCGAGTGAAAATGTCCAAGAATCGGATGTTTGCATTGAACATCCAACATGATGCTGCGAAGTGTTTAAGTGCCATTATCAAAGACAAAGACTGGCTATGGCATTTGAGGTTTTGACATTTTAACTTTGGAAGCTTGAAGCTGTTGTCAAGCAAGAATATGGTGAAAGAGCTCCCTCATATTGCTCATACTAATGAAGTCTGTGAAAGCTGCATTCTTGGCAAGCATCACAGAACTAGCTTTGCCAAAAAAGTGAAGTGAAGAGCAACAAACCCGCTGGAGCTAGTGCACACGGATGTGCATGGTCCATTAAAGCCAATGTCAAATGGACAGAATATATATTTTCTTACCTTCATTGATAACTATAGTCGGAAGATATGGGTATATTTTCTTAAAAAAAAAGTCGGAGGTGTTCAGTATCTTCAAAGAATTCAAAGCTTTTGTAAAAAAGCAAAACGGCTACTACATCAAGACATAGCGGTCAGATCAAGGTGGAGAATATACATCTGATGGTTTTGAAAGATTTTATAAAGAGCATGAAATCAAGCATCAAACAACACCATCCTATACGCCATAGCTGAATGGTATTAGTAAGAGAAAGAATCGCACTATCTTGGATATGGCAAGGAGCGTGTTGAAAGGAAAAGGACTTCCTAAACAATTTTGGGCTGACGCTGTATTATGTGTTGTGTATCTACTAAACAGATGTCCAACCAAGAGCCTTCACTCTATGACTCCAAAAGAGGGTTGGAGTTCACATAAGCCAAGTGTCAACCATCTCAGAATATTTGGGTGTGTTGCGCACACCAAGATTCCAAAAAGCAAGAAGAACCAAGCTCGATGATGAGGGAGAAAAATGTATCCTTGTCGGATATGGAGATAGAACAATGGGATACAAGTTGTATAATCCCATTACCAGAAAGGTGATCATGAGTAGAAATGTGATATTTGAAGAAGAAGAAGCTTGGAACTGGAATCAAGATGAAGTTGTTAAAGATGCAGAACTCATTCTTGAAGATGAAACATCAAAAGCTCCAGTTGAAATCACGAGAGAAGTTCAAGATGAGCCACAAGCTCCTCCACATAGAATACCTGCACCTAGATCGCCAGTTTCTCACAGAAGTTATGCATCATCATCATCATCATCATCAGATGATAGTTTTTTCAAACAACCAAGACCCATGAGAAATTTGCAGGAGATATATGAAGCTATAGAAGAAGAAGATCTGAATTTGTTTTGTCTACTTGCAGATAGTGATCCACTTACTTTCTCAGAAGCTGTCCAAGAAGATAAATGGAAGAAAGCAATGGATAAAGAAATTCATGCTATTGAGAAAAATGACACATGGAAGCTTACCAATCTACCGGAGGGACACAAACCTATTGGAGTGAAATGGGTATACAAGACAAAGAGGAGTGCACAAGGCGAAGTGCAATGCTACAAGGCAAGATTAGTGGCAAAAGGTTACAAGCAGAGAGCTGGAATTGATTATGGAGAGGTGTTTGCTCCAGTTGCACGGTTAGAGACTATTAGGCAAATGATTTCTTTGGCTGCCCAACACAAGTGGCAGATCTATCAACTTGATGTGAAATCTGCATTTCTTAATGATTTTCTTGAAGAAGAAATCTATAATGAACAACCTTCAGGGTATGTTCAGAATTGGCATGAAGACAAAGTGTACAAATTAAAGAAAGCACTTTATGAAGCAAGCTCCACGTACATAGAATACTAGAATTGATCAATATTTTCATGACAATAGTTTTGAAAAATTCCAATAGAAGCACGCACTATATTTGAAGAATGAAGCTGATAGAAGCATGTTGCTTGCTTGTTTTTATGTTGATGATCTAATTTTCACCTGAAACAATCTAGTCATGTTCAAAGAATTTAAAAGAAGCATGGTCCAAGAATTTGAAATGACAGATATTGGATTGATCGCTCATTTTCTCGGCATTGAAGTGGCACAAAGAAAAGATGGAACTTTTATTTCGCAAAGTGGCTATGCGAAGGAGATTCTCAAGAGATATGGAATGGAGAGTTGCAATCCAGTGAACACTTCTGTAGACAGTGGAGTAGAGCTCAAAAAAAGTACAAAGGCAGGTGATGTGGATCCAACTTATTTTAAGAGCTTAGCTAGAAGTCTTCGCTATCTTACTTGCACCAGGCCGGACATACTCTATGGAGTAGGATTGATTAGCAGATATATGGAAACACTAGATCAGTCAGACCTTTATGCAGCAAAGAGAATTCTTCGATACATCAAAGGTACAATCGATGATGGTTTATTCTATAAACCAACTGATAATTTCAGTCTTGTTGCTATTCAGATAGTGACTGGGGACGTGACTTAGATGAACGAAAGAATACTATTGGGTTTGCTTTCTTTATGGGAAATACAGTGTTCACTTGGTAGTCCAAGAAGCAAGTTATTGTGACACTGTTAACTTGCGAAGCTGAGTATGTTGCAGCCAACTCAACTGTGTGTCATGCAATTGGGTTAAGAAATGTGCTGAACCATTGTGGATTTCCACAAGAAAATCCTACTGAGATCTATGTTGATAATCATTCTGCAATTGCATTAGCAAAGAACCTAGTTTATTATGAAAAAAGTAAGTATATTAACACCCGCTATCATTTCATCCGAGAGCATGTGAAAAATAAAGAGGCAGAATTATTTCCTTGCAAATCTCAGGATCAGCTTGTAAATATTTTCACGAAGCCATTGAAAAATGATCTGTTCAACAGAATAAAGTTGATACTCGAGATGAAGCAGCATGGAGAATCAAGATTAAGGGTTGATGTTGTGAAGTAATCTTGCTTCACTTATAATAAAAAAAAACTTTTTTTCACCGGCCTAAGAGTAGAAGTATGGAGGCTTAAATCAAGTTTTTTCAACAATGGTTGCAACAGTTTGAAATTCACAGCCTCAGCTGCATTTTCATTTAATGGTTTCACATTACTAGTTTTATCTATATATAGCTATTGTATTTTGAAAATTCCGAGTGTGGGAGAAAGATGAGAGTTAAAAAGTAAAAGTGTGTTTCCTCTCCTCAGTGTATCCTAAATATTTGAGTGAAATAAATCTGTTTTCAGATTATAAATTCCCTCTTGTTTTTGTGAACCACCATAAGTGGTTTGCACTCCACTCTCACCAACATCATCCATAACAAGTGTGATAACTCTTTGTTTGAGCACAAGACTTATACTTCTCTCACCTATTTTCTTATTTACGTTGATGACATTTTGCTCACTTGAACTAACCCCTTGTACATCCAGCAGCTTTTGTCTTATATGCATCTTGCATTTTCCATGAAAGAGCTTGGCAATATTTCTTATGTTCTTGACATCTCCGTCCAACATACTCTTACTGGTTTTTCTCTCTCTAAAGACAAGTATGCTACTGATTTGCTTGCCAAAGCTGGCATGATTGATTGTAAGTCATGTGCTACTCTTGTCTTCATGAAGCCTCTCTTTGCTCATGAAAATTCTCTTCCCTGTACTTAGCCATTCTTGTATAGAAGCATTGTTGGAGCTCTCCAATATCTTACTATCACTAGACTTGAACTATGTTTTGTAGTCAATCAGGCATACCAATACATGCATGCTCCTATTGTGGGTCATTTTGCAGCAGTGAAGAGAATTTTGAGATATGTCAAGGTTCTCTCACCTATGGTCTTTTGTTTTCTCCTAGTTCTTTTCAACTCCAAGCCTACACTGATTCAAATTGGGTTGGAGATCCTTCTAATAGGAAATCCACTTCTAGCTATTGTATTTTCCTGGGCTCAAATCTAAATTCTTGGTCCTTTAAGAAATAGGCCACAGTAAGCTGCTCTTCCACTGAAGCTGAATGTCGGTCTTTAGCTCATACTGGCTGAGGTCACTTAGTTGCAACTGTTGCTTCAAAACTTTTCCATTCCACAACCTTCTGCTCCAGCTATTTGGTGTGATAACCTTTTTACCCTATCGTTGGCAACTAATATGGTCTTCCATAGTCGATTAAATATATCAAAGTAGATTGTCACTTTGTTCGTGAGAAGGTTACAACACATAAGTTTCATCTTAAATACATTCTAACTTCTGATCAGTTAGCCGATATTTTTGCTAAACCATTGTCTATAGCACGATTCTCTACTCTTACTTCCAATCTCATGGTTTGTCCTACACCCATTCGATTACGGGGAAATGATAAGGAAGATATTATAGAGTCTGCTAAGAGAGTTGGTACACAATAAGTACCATGTGCCTGAGTAGTAGACTAGTAGTTCTTGTATAACTTGAATCAGTTAGATAGTTAGATATAGATTAGACATAGTTGGTTAGATGGTTAGCTTGTGTAATATGATTGATATATATATATATATATATCGGTTACTTGTATACTGTTGTGCTTTAATGGATTGAATTGATTGTTCATCACTTATAACCAATAAAGACCAAAGTTTGGACCTTGGTTCTAAAATACTCCATATATTGAATTTCTTGCCAATTTTTCTTTTCATCTCTTTGAAAATATTAATTTAAGGTTCGTTTAGAAATTAACTTTTAAATTTTTTACTAAGAGACATACAAAAGTAAAAAGAATGATTTGATAATTTTTCAAAACTTTTTTACTAAAATTTTAAGTTTCCAAACAATGCCTTAGTATAGGGTGGCTCTAAAATGTATCCAAAAATTAGGTTGGACATCTCAATTGTTAATTTTTTCTAATACAAATCCATAAACAAATTATCAAAATAACCAAACTCTAGTCCTATCTTCGGCCACCCCTTCCAGCTCCGACAACCTTCGGCCATCCTTTTTCAATTCTGGTCACTGGTTCGTAGAGCCCCTTCATTATCACTGGCCAACCACCAAATTCTAGTCGACCTAAAATGTATCCAAAAATTAGGTTGGACATCTTAATTATTAATTTTTTCTAATACAAATCCATTAAACAAATTATCAAAATAGCCAAACTCTAGCCCTATCTTCGGCCACCCCTTCCAGCTCTGACAATGTCACGCCCCACTTTTTATTACTCGAAATTATTACCAAATTCATTAGTTTAATTCAATATTAGAGATAACATGCGGAAAAAATCTTTGGTTCAACAAATGGAAATAAATAACGATTCTCTCATTCGTATGCAAATTATATACAATATGAGCACACTAAATAAATTGCCCTTGGGCTTACATCATTAAAAAGTCAAGAAGAAGGGTATAACCCTTTTACATAAATGGCATTCCGCCAACACAAAAGAGGTCCCGTGGCCAACAAATAAGAAGATCCAAAATCTTGTGGCACATCCTAGCTATCACCTGAAAAAGATTCAACAACGTGGGATGAACATATAGTCCAGTAGCGATCTCAACATGATCCCCAACAATAACAACTTACAGATAGCTATGATCATGAATGTTCAATCTCATACTAGAATAGTAATGTGGCAGTTTATACAAAATATACATAAGTATGAACTTTTCTCGAAAACAGCCATTTCATTCAACGCTATAAGCGGTTCACCTTTCTTTCCTTTTCATTACCCTTTTTTCCAAACTTTCATGACTATAACAGTTTTAGAAAAAAACAATTTCACCAAGCCCATTACTCTTCCCCCATTTTCCGTACCTACAACAAAATGACCTTTTTTGAAAACATGTTCACAAATATCCCATTTTCCTTCACACTTTCCAAAATCTCAAAATGGCATTTTGGTTTGTTCCCAATACATTCATATCAATACATGCATGCCTTAAATAAAAGGGAAATAACAAATCATCAACATGTATATAATCCACAAATGAGGCAGCTCGGCCTTTCAAAACTGTAACCATCGCAACCCATAACATACTCAGATACACTGACGATAACAATTAAAACTCTGCTCTACAGGCTATATGCACAGTACGCTAAGGATACGCCGAAGCGATAAAAGACTAGCTAAATTCTCCAGACACAAGTTGGAAGGTAATGGTACCTCATCCACATTCTCCAGTCACAAGCTGGAGGTAATGGTACCTCGTCCAAGTTCTCCAGACGCTAGCTGGAAGGTAATGGCACCTCTGATTTTAAGCGCGGTATATAACACCAATTACCTCAATACAACAAAGCATAAATAACAAGTGTAATACATACACATAAACTATTCAATAATGTTTAACCAACACAAGTGTAACGCATACATCACAATTCAACACAACAATGTCATCTACCACCGATGACCAAGGACAAAACCTCTAGATGCATGTATTCAGTACACCTAATAAAAGAGACTTAACTCTCAAGCAAACCTTAAACCCAACAACGACACTAGTACGATAGGTAAGGATAAAACCCCCAAATGTGTGTATTCAACACTTATGATACAATAGTTCAATTCTCAAATTTATTTTCCGAGACTCACATAGAGTTAACATTTCATTTCCCATTTTCATGATCAACTTTCATAATTTTTTTCAAGTCAACATGTTCCATCACTTATTCCAAAAACACTTTTCCCTTTTCACAAAACTAATTACACTCTCTTCATTTTACAAAATCAGTTCCATGGATAATAAAGCCATAACCCAACTTGATTCAATACGTTCATTTCAAAATAACCCCAATACCATAATTAATCCCTTAACTGTTAACACCTTCTACACAACTCATATTAACAATAGAAATTTACCAACATTGTTCAACCATAAACCCTTTTTATTTTACCAAATCAAAATATAATTTAGGGCTTTCTCTTCTTTCAACAATAACATGCTAATTTTACTCTCTAATTAGTCTAAACCACAGTCAATGATAACAAAACCATTCCCAAACAACCAACTCTAGGTTTCCCTCATGATTTTCAAACAAATCCAACACGGATATGATTTTCATGCAATACAAAACTACCACATGTCTATCTATAGACGGAGTATTGAAAAAGAACAAAGAAATCCCTACCTCAAATGGAGAGACCAAATGGAGAAGATGAAGGATGTCGAAGGTGCTCCAAACCCAATAATTTTCGAATCAAAATGAAGAGCAAGCCGTCCCTTCCTCTTCCTCTCAAGATTTCTCTCTTGTTCTCCTTCCTCTTCTCCCTTATGAAAATGCTTACTCTCACTCTAAACACTCTTAATCTAAACTCAAAATCTGAAAAACAAATGGAGAGAGATATGGGAAGAACCATAGAAAGAAGTTGAGAGGTGAGCTCAATTTATAGGCAACCTTGATGTAGTTGGTATTGAAAGGTTGTTATTAAAGCCCATTAATTGGAAAATGAAAGGACAAGTTAGAATTAAATGAACACTAATTGAAATTAAATGAACACTAATTGGAATTAAATGAACACTAGTTGGAATACGAATGGATCACTAGTTTGAAAAATGAATGGACACTAATTGGAATTGAATGAACCATTATGAAAATTTAATGGACACTAACCCTTGGTTTCCAAACACAACCAACCTGTTTTAAACCTACCCAACACAACCCAAGACTCATATACAAAGAGTAAAGGATGGAAACGGGAAAAAGACAACAACACATCCATGGAACCGAACCCGGAATACAATTAAACAATGGAGGAAAAACCGGGATTGCCATAACCTCCCATCTTTAAAGAATTTCGTCCCCGAAATTAAGAACATAACGAAGATACAAGGCCAACCGAGCATATAGCACTTAACACCCGAGCACTTAGGAAAGAAACTATCCCCACAACAAACCTTCGGTTAACTCTCACAAATAAAGGGGCTTACCAAGGAAACACGCCCCAAGTAACACAACTCTGGCACAAAAGCCTCAACAAAACCAAACCTGTCCTAAAATAAATCACCAAAACCCCGACTAGCGCTCCAAGCTAAGTCACTACACAACTCTCGAAACCAATATGCCAAACACATTCACCCACGGGTTCCCCGTTCTCAACAAACAACTTTTAAACTGAACAAGGCTCACAGGCCATCACATAACTCATCTCTTAATTCAATACCAAACATAAAACAACACTAGGATCATCGATCCCATTTACAACTTCTCAATATATATAAAAGAGGGTTCGAGATTCCATGCATGCCCCCAATACACGAGGATTAAACAAACAACAATATGCATACATAAGCAATACATAATCATGATGCCTCAGCATCCGACGGTACACCGATCAATAACAAAATGATTCACAAAGTACAACACCGGCCACCAATACAAAAGGCCCCCTCCAGGGTAGTGCTATAATGCTGGCTTACCAAGGAAACACGCCCCAAGTAACACAACTCTGGCACAAAAGCCTCAACAAAACCAAACCTGTCCTAAAATAAATCACCAAAACCCCGACTAGCGCTCCAAGCTAAGTCACTACACAACTCTCGAAACCAATATGCCAAACACATTCACCCACGGGTTCCCCGTTCTCAACAAACAACTTTTAAACTGAACAAGGCTCACAGGCCATCACATAACTCATCTCTTAATTCAATACCAAACATAAAACAACACTAGGATCATCGATCCCATTTACAACTTCTCAATATATATAAAAGAGGGTTCGAGATTCCATGCATGCCCCCAATACATGAGGATTAAACAAACAACAATATGCATACATAAGCAATACATAATCATGATGCCTCAGCATTCGACAGTACACCGGTCAATAACAAAATGATTCACAAAGTACAACACCGGCCACCAATACAAAAGGCCCCCTCCAGGGTAGTGCTATAGTGCTAGCTAATAAGTCGCCCCTCGCGAGGCTCTCGAAGCCTGGCCTGCCCGTTTCTGGTACCGATAACGCCTCTAACTGGACGGGTACGACTGAGTCTGACTAGGTTTTAAAACACTTGCAGAATTTACACGCAAAGGGCATAAACGTCTAACATGGCCCAACTGACCACAACTAAAACAACCAGCAGACCCCCTACTCTAAGACTGGTCTGAAACCGAAACCTCTCTAGACCTCCAAACAGAAAAGTTCGAAACCCCTAGTGAAGAAAAGGATTTTGCCTAGGACTGAGCATGTTTTCGCCTTCACCTCTTTTTGGGCCTAGAGTGCTTATGAACTGTAGGAGTTACCGAGATGGGCTTCTCCCTAACCTGACCAGCACTCACGATCATGGCCTCCACATGGGCCGCTGCCTCGACTAGACTATAATAATCCTTCCAAAAGGATCCAGCTATTTTCTCCCGAATATCGAATAACAACCGACTTTCAAACTCATAACAACGACGCTCCTCTATTGCCACCAACTCTGGAGCAAACCTTGACAAA